TGTGTAGAATGAATGGTGACCAACAAATCACCTCATCGGATGTTCTACAGCCAAAGCATGTCAGAAGAAAAAAAAAACAAAAAACAAAAACCTTCCCAGTACCACAGTCCTGTGGCGTCAGGAACTGTGAGAATGAGCCATGGCTTCGATGGAAATGTTGTCCCAAGTAATTAAATAATCTCCTTTTTTTTTTTTTGTCCCCGCACTCTTATTGTTTCGAATGTAAAATAAGATGTTGTCATCTTCTAGGCATTCCAAAAAAACAACAAGAAAAACCCATCAACGTTACAAAGGAATAAATATTGGGCTGGTACCAGGCTGAGCTGCTGGCAGCCAGCGTGAGGGGTGTGTTTCTGGAAGGGAAAGAAATCAGCCAGTTTTCCTCCACATAACCACAGTCATTGTCTATCATAAAAAAAGGCTAATTGATTGATAAACTGTTAGAAACATTTATTTTCTTCTTTTGGGTAAAAGCTGTGATCTGCTACCAATTTGTCAGCTTGTTCTTTTAGCTCCTTCCCCCTTAAAAACAAACAAACAGAAAACCCCATTTTTACAATCGAGATTGCCCACGAGAGCCGGTCATTGTTTTGAAGCTTTCAACAAAAAGTTAAGATTAATGGCGTGCATTCCCAGATGTTACTATTTCCAAGTCCGTTTATCCCAGACTAAAGACACTCGTTTCTAAAAATACCCGGGAGAAAGCTGTCTCATAAAACAACATCAAAGCTTCCTTGGTTTTGTTGGTATTTAATTTTTCATTACTCTATCAAAGTTTTGCCCGCAGATCTCTCTGTAATCGTTCAGATTTGCAACAGGCCATTCTCTCGGTAACACTGGCGTTAAGCTTGCACTAGTCCTCCTTCGGGGGCTTGTTTTCATTTACCGCACTTGTACTTTCCATCCTGAATCATCGTGGCCATTTAGAACCCGATGGCGGAGTTAGCTACTTCGCTTTTTCACACAGCACGGCGCTGTTTTGCCACAAAGCATAAATCTTCCATCAGTAGTGTCTCGTGTCACCAGGAATCGCTAAGCATTTATTTCTTCCAAATGGAACCGATGGCAAGTTTTATTATTTCATCACTGGTGCCATTCATTACAAATTTATTAGAAAAGTCACAGACTTGCCACTTGCTGAAGCAATTCTTAGGAATGTGATGCAGAGCCATTAGGGGATGCAGTGTAGGGCAATTCATTCTTTCCACAGTCACCAGAAATTCCCTGAAAATCCTAAATATCTTTTATCTTTTTTTTTTTTTTTTCCCCGAGGAGGTACTTTATCAGAGTGTTGTGCCGAGCATCTCAGCCCCAGACTCAAGTTAAAGAGCCCCCAGAACTCTTTCCTCCCTCGTCTCTTTGCAAAGTTTTTGCAATTATCTATACAGAGTGCTGCTTTTTCCTCACGGAGAAATTCCTCAGGACCCTATTTTTAACAACAGTGAAATACCAGCAAGCCAGCTTTTGGGAACTTCCCTGTGAGAGCGAGACACGATAGTGACTGCTCACAAACGCCTCTGACTCCCAGGTGCGTCCGGGACAAGGGCTGGGAGAGATTGAGGATGGGCCAGATTCCTGCTCAGCACGTGGAAAAGTCCTGCAATAGTTTAAGAGAGAATCCAAATAATCGCTCTGGGGACAAAACTGGTGGTCAGAGTCCTGGATAACGGTTCTAGCCATGATCTTCTCGGCCACTTGGTAGAGGTCTAGAGAAGCCATCAAAGGCCTTTCACTGACTTCAGAGCAAGTTGAAAATTATTGTAGGTGGGGTTGGGAGCTCTTCGCGTCCCTTTTTCCTCATGTTTCTATCTTAGGAGGCTCTGGGATTTAAAGAGAAGGCTAACATGAAGATAGCAGATTTATTGGCTAAATACTGTTGCTCTTCCCTAACTCAAGAAGCCAGTTTGGTGTGACGGAATAACGTGATCCTTACCATTATAGGTGTAAATGTAGGTTATTTTAAATAGTGAAAGTGCTGCGAAATCTCTGCAGGAAGCTACAAGAGCATGTATTTCCTTTACTGCCTTGGCATCACCACCATAAAGTTGAAAAGATTATCTGACAACTTCTGAAGCAACAAAAACTTTAAAAAAAAAAAAAAAATTAGTTGCCTGTGGTCTCCTTCCTACCTTTTATTTCTATTCATAACAAAGGAAAAATATCCTTATTTTGGTTCTTAAAAATAGCCGTCATGAACCAGAACCCTGGCTCCAAACTGTTTCCAAATTTTAAGACACCACATGCAGACCAGCAGGATGGTACTGACAGTCTCACGCAGAGAGGTACGAGCTTTTCCCGGTGTGTTGTGAGGTTTTTGGAAGGGAAAAGGAGGACGATGGAGGTTCAGTGCTGGGCTTCAGCAAGCGTCCAGCCATACGTGCAGTTATTTCTGACTGGAGTGTGAATAAGGACTGTGTGGGGTGTGTCAGAATGGCATCCACACATAAGCAAAATCTGGTGTCAGACCTCCTGTCAGGCTCACAATCCAATCCGGGTTTACCCAGGATCCCCAAAAACGCCAAATTTCAGAATAATGTATGTCAGGTTTCAAGTTTGCCTGGATTCTCAGAAGGGACTCGTGATTTCAGGTTGAAATTGCACCAAAAGTCTGTGGCTGCATTTGGCCCAACCCAGAAACACAGAAAGCATATCCTAGTTTCCAGAGTTTTGTTCTAACCTTAAGTTTCAGTCAGTCTCGAATGCAAAATGTCTCATTTATACAAACAGCAGACGATCTCAAATGAACCAGAGTCGCTATTATATATTCTACAACTTTGCTTATTCATTTCACGTGAATGTGTGTCAGAGCACCAACATTATTGCGAAACATGACCCCCGAACTATATTTATATGAGCACATTCCTTGGGATTTGATGGATTGTACTTAAAAACAAAAACAAAAAGCTACACCAAATCCCTTCAATCATCCTTCGCTTTTGCAAGCAGTATGATACATTCATGATTACAACAAATATATATACGTGGGCTTAAATAACTACTAAAAGATTCAAACAAAAAAAAAAAAGTGTGTAAAAATGTATTTGGGGGGGAAAAAACCCCAACCCTCTATTGTCAGTACTTACAAGCCTTTTTATTCCTGTCTCAAAACCGTGAAAGTCAGTGTTATCGTTTGGTTTCGAAAGAACATTTGCAAAAAAAAAAAAAGAAGTTTTTAGAAATGTTAGAAGAAATGCATTCGCATGAATGCTGCTACCAGAAATATCTGTAAAAACACACACTTCTTTGGATTGCTTCTGTCCCCCTGCTTATGAAATTCTGATGAAGAGTAAAAATATAATTTGCTTCATAAGAATCAGCCATGTGGTCTGGTGGTTGCTGGGCTATATTTAGAACTGGGGGACCTGGGAGCAGTGTCTGGCTCAGATATTGAGCCGCCTTCTCTTCTTGGGCAAAAGACTTCACTGCTCTCCTTCTACACGTTCGCTTTTCGCTCTTTTTCCCTCTTTCACATCTAGGCTGTAACACGTTCAAAGCAGGGCATCCATCAGCATCTCTAGGGGGGGGTGGCACGGTGCCCGCCACGGAGGGCTACCGGTTGGAGCAGGGATGACGACACATCTAGAGGTAATAAACGCTCCCCTGCAAGTTTAACACGGGGTTTCCATCTTCTTTTTGCATCCAAACATGATGCATGACTCCGACGTGAAGCACCCAAGCTCAGAGAAGTGATAAGACTTGGAGTTGCTCTTCCAAGCTGCTGGTCTCCCAGGAGTACCTCATACAGCAGTACGAGGTGCTTCCACAGCACGAGGTGCTTTTACACCTGTGGCAGCAAGTTTTTGGAAAAAAAAAAAGACTGTGCCCCTCTTAAGGATGTTTTTCTGTCTGGCTCCTCAGCCAGCTGTCTCCTTCCCTTCTGGAGACTTCGGTACTCAACCATCATTCGGGGATCAATCCTGGCTCTACACTCGAGATTACACCTGGTCCCTTCCACTGTGCTGAGTTTCTGTAGTGATTTCCTCCCAGTGGATAACTGCCCACCCACCACCTTCAGCTAACGTCCATCCCCAGGAGGTTTTGTTGCATGGGCTGAGTGTTAATAAACGAAATGCAGGCAGTAAGATAATTGTGCTGCTTCTGCCACCACCAATTCAACCCTCCCTGCCCACCTCAGCAGCTAGTGCTCGGTGTAGGGCAGAAAGCTCACACTTTTGGAGCAGAAAATGTCAACTTTGAGGGCTCGGTGTGGAGGAGTGGTACATTGGAGCCTCCTACAACACTGGAGGGTAGAAGCAGCATTTTTTTTCACCTGGGGGGGAAACACTTCAAAGGGTTTAGTTAAATCTCTCCTGAGGTAGGTATATATTATGGAGAAAGATTTGTTGTCCTTTTTAAAGGGCAAGCTTTGAGAGCTATGAGGATTGTTATCAGTGGATATAAACCAGCATAGCTCCGTGATGTTTATTGTTTCCATTGCAAGCAACTCGGTCACGGTGGTGGACATGAAACTATTTCTTCTTCCCAAGCGACCCGTAGGCAGCCGTTTGCAGCCCACCGGTGAGGAACGGACAGTTGTGCATTTTCTATGGAGTGTGTATTTCATTAGAGCTGTGGTCAAAGAAGGGGTTTGGGTTTGGACAGAATAAATAGCTGCCAGTGCTGTGAGAGTCCAGCAATGAAGACAACTCCATCCTGAGCCCTGACGTCTCTTGCTAGATTTTTGCAAAGGAGGTGAAAAGGAAAGATTTATCGTTATGGGAAGCAGCTCCAGCAAAGCCCTCTCTGTTATCGGTAGGACTGGAGAAAATGTTTAGGAAGCAGGAACATCTAGGGGAGCATCTATAATACATGGCCAGCGTTGAATGAAAAGAGACAGCAACAAAATGTAAACATTAGAAGCCATCAGGTAACCTGATGTGGGTGTGGGAGAACAAGCAGAGAGAGGGGTGAGTTTTGTGGGAATGCCTCCTGCCACCAAGCCAGCCTCCCCCCGTCCTCCAGCGCACACGTTTCCCCATCCCTCGTCCTTTCTGGAATACCTTTCTTCCAGCCTCATTGTTGTGCAAGTTCATCAGCCTCCGTGCATTCTTTTTGATTTCTCGGGCATCAACAAACCTCCGGGAGAACTCAATGCCGTATCTGATATCCGCAGAGCAGCCTCCCCACTTCCAGCCCTCCTCCTGGTTGTAGTAGCCCTGTTTCTCTCGGTCACAGCCACAATTGCTGAGGTTGCCCTGGCTGCAGGCGGCCGTGACAGCGTGTGCAACCCCGGCAGCAGTAATGGCATAGGTGAAGGCAGCCTCCCTGCTTCCTGTGGAGAGAAGCCAAAAGCTGGTGGGTTGGCAGAAAGGCAGCACTTACTAAAGAAAGTAACATAAATCATCTACGGCAACAGTGTCAGGCAGCAGTGTGAGGAGGGCAGGACTACTGAGTGTGTATTTCTCATCCGTGCAGTTACATACTTAAAATATTTGGTTCAGCTGGGGCATCTTACCCCGGGTAAGCCCCAGGCATACGATAGTGGCACCTAAGCCCCCCCTCACCAGAGGGGAATTCGGCAATGAGTCTGGGCGGTGGTGAGGTGAGGCAACGCGATTTGTTTTTACGCCGTCTAGTCAGGTTCGCGAGCTGAACTTTATCTATTTCAGATGAACAACAAGAGAGTCACTGGTGGCAACGCTCACGGGAAAACAATAGTTACCTCTAAGCATTGGCACCGCATGGATAAAGAAAAGCATTCAGGCAACATAAAAAATACCCGACCCCTTCAGATGTGTGAGAGGGCTAGGAACAGGTGAGGAAGATTAATAATCCACTTTTATAAATGCTTCAGTAGCATCCCTTAGTGATGCTGCGTGTAGAGTGTTGCAGGAGAGGCCTATAGACAGGGCAGCTGCGTAGGTTTTGTTCTCTCTCGCTGTAAAGCAGAGGCTGCCCCTTTTCCTCGCTGACTTCTCTTGCATCTTAGTTTTGCCATAATGACCCTTTTCCACTCCCACTCTGACTCAAACCTCGGCATTACCTTGGCTATTGAGCATGCAAGGGGTATAGAAGTGCTGCAGCAGCATTTTTTTCCTCTCCAAAAGAAGTAAGATCCTATCATGGAAGCACAGTCTCGTTTAGAAAAACGCCCTTTTAGAAAAAAAGTTCTTTTTGTTTTTCTATGATGCCACTAGTTGGCAAAGTTCCTCATTCCCAGTTCCATGTTATGGCTGTTGATACTGAATATATGAAGAAAGGAAAAAAACAAAAAAACAACCCTTTCTTTACAGAAAGCTGACGTGCCTGTGGGATGCACATAAGCAAGAAGATACAGAGGCAGAATGAGCAAAAAGAGAAGCTACAGCCCATTCGTGCTCTCACAGGAGACCACATTCTGTCACTGCCTTCATCACGGCCCTCGGTGTTTCGCTGTTCTGATTTATAACATTTCCCTAAAAGTTCCCTTCTCAGCACTAGCCTCATTTTCTTCTGTGTTTTTATCTGGTGATAAACAGACAATCTGGTAATACCGCAGCCAAGGAATAACTGTCAAGAATTTGCAGAAAGCTGCTGAAATGCTTTAACGGCCACACACAAAGCCTTAACATCGTTAATAGGTTTGGGAAGGAAAAAAAAAAAAAAAAAAAAAAAAGGGGAAAAAAAAAAAGCCCCACTAAAACTTAAATGCTATTTTACTTTTTTTAATAATATTTTTTAGGATTCACAGATACCATAACTATTCTGGGATGACCAGTGCACAGTGGGGGGGGGTGTTTATGTTTTATATCGCTTATATTCATAGACAGCTTCCTGAAAGCTCACACCTCTGCCGGATATGAGAAAGATCCTACAAGAAACAATCATAAACTGTTTTTTTGGCACCGTTTACTTGTTTCTCCAAAGCAATAAAAAAGAAACTTAAGGTAAGAGAAAAATAAAAGCGTGCTGCGTTCTTCAGGTACCAGGAAGGTTAAACTGACTTGTGTATTATTTGAGTACGTCGCGCAATAGGAGGACTGACTCTGCTTTCAGACACAGAAGTGTTTTGTTGAGGTGTGCTGCGTGTGTAGTCTGGTTCAGTGGTTCTCAAACCGTGGTCCGCAGAACACTGGTGGTCCGGGAGGCCGCGGTAAAGGGTTCGCAGCTAATCCGCAGAGCCATATTAAACACTGTTTTTAATAGTGTTTTCAATTAAAAGTTTGATGATAACGATGCCTGGTGGTCCACAAGAAATTCTGAGGGTTGATTGCAATCCAAGAGAGTTTGGGAACCTCTGTTCTAGCTCCTAGTTCTCTATCAATATTCACTCCTCTCTTCTTCACCCGCCAGCTGAAGTCGAAGCCAAGACCCATGTTTTAAAATTTATCCTGTTGACCTGCAGAATTTCTTTCTCATCTCTTTTAAAAAAAAAAAAAACACAAACAAACCAACAAAAACCAAACCCTATTCTTATCCTATAAATTGAACAATTGGAAATATGAGATATAGTGGAAACTACATATATAGAAACATTTTCCTTCCTCTTCGGGATGAGGGTAAACGAAAGTGCAAAATCAGACCCAGGAAAATTTTTGAGTTCACACATCTTCGAAACACATGTAAGAAACGCTTATAAACAAGCAGAAACATATTGCTGTCAGGGAACACAGCAGTTGGGAGCCGCAGTTCAGTAGATCTACTCAGAGATTAACCAGAGAGAGGCTGTTTACATTTTAGGCTCAATGTATTCCACATGTACCCAGAGCCGAAGGGAAGCCGTTTTATCACGGCCACTGTGTCTGTGACCTGGCCGTGAGTTTTCACACGGAGCTTCCCTTGACCAATTGTGTAAACCTGAAGAATATTCTGTCTTTATCTGCCTTTTTCTCCCCCTCATTCCCGTGATAGCCATGATTACCTTCAGGAACAGAGGAAAGCATCTCTCCTTCACCCAACTGAGAGCTGCAGCAGTGATGGAATTAACTCAAGTCATGGGATCATACCAAATGGAAACCATATTGACTCTCTGAGGAGCACTTTTCTGTTTCAATGCAGCTCTAAAATAAGAAGTGCTCAGAAGGAAAACCTGGCTTGAAAATCAGATTCCTTTTGCAAGTTGAGTTGTCCTGCTAAGAATTTGGGAGGGGGGTGTGTGTGTGTTAGTTTTTTGTTTGGGGTTTGTTTTGTTTTTTTGTTGTGTTTTGTTTTTTTTTTTTTTTAACCAGAGGATGTTCCAAAACTTCCCTTGAACTTCAGTGTAAGCATTACCTCAGCAGTTCTCTAAAGTCCTCGGATCAGTAGAGTCTATCAGAAAATGCTGATGGGGGAGGGAGGGGGACCTCTGTGCTCAGATAATGTGTCTGCTGTACACAAAGCTTTCCATTTGCATGTCATCACTTGGAATCAGTTCTAAGCAAGCCTTTGTCAGGCAGCTAAAAATATTTAAGTAATGTTCGCTGTGATACCCGAATGGAGAACAATAATCTCATTTTATGGAATTTTCTGAGATTTCAAAAATATTCCTGTGCTGCAACAAAACAGAAAGTCTTTCCAGAAATATTCGTGAAATGGAGAAAGATTATAAACAGCAGAAGATTTGGGATTTGACCCAACTTTGAAGCTAGATTTTTTCTTTTTCCAGTGAATATCCTGGTCACCTTGTTATTTGGCACTATGTATGTTCACTATCTATGTCTCAGAAGAAAAATTCTTGTTTGACTTTTGAATGTTTTCTGCCATGTAGACCAAAATAATCCTGGCAAGATTTTATTTTGGTGGAAAAGACACTTTTTTTGTGTGTGTGTGACCCTTGGATTCATCCATTTCCCTCAGAAATGCCTGTTTTGGTGTCAAAGACAACAGTTCTGGTTTAATTCCCCGGACACAGGATGAATGTTTCCGTGAGCAACGTGAACGTTACTCTGTCTGATCTAATAACTGATCCGATAACTCCAACAGGTTACCACCAGTACTCATTGAAATGAAGCCTTCTGTCTCTGGTGGAGGTGCTGAAGGTCGATTTGCTACCGTTCGTTCGCACCCTGGAAGCTGTATTTTAGCTAATACCCAGCAGTGCGAGCAGCTGCTGCTCAGACGGACATTGGAGCACCAAAATGAGTGATCTCTGGCAGATAAGGTGAGAAGAGACGATTTATTTGTCACTGGAGTCGTGACGCAGCCTGCACTTTACGCCTAATTTAGATGTCGTCTCCGACTAAGTTTTAGACTGCTAACTGAGCGCTGAACTGCATATGGTCTGATGTGGAAATTACTACAGATTCCATAATTGCTGTAGTTTACTACATTCTAGCATGCACACATTCAGCAGCGTGTTTTCAGCATGTAACCACCATCAGCTGAGACTCATATGATATTGATATATATATCGTATATATATATAGTTATATAGATATATAGATATATAGATATATAGATATATAGTTATATAGATATATAGATATATAGTTATATAGATATATAGATATATCTTGACCATTCAGCTGTGAGTGCAGGGTTAAAGATTTAACTGTTCCGTAGTCATTAGCGGTAGTAACTGGATGAGAATGTTACTATTCCACACATCGTTCTGAATATCTGATGTCAGCAGCTAGATGAATGAGTGCCGCTGAATGTCAGCCATTAGAACTGTAATTTGACTTATTAAATGGGAGAATATACACTGTTTAGCCACTAATTCGCTGAATCTTGGATCAACAAGGATAGAGAAAAATACTACACGCTGCTGTTAAACAAAACAAACTCTTCATGTCCTTACACCATCTGTACACACCAGTCTGACTATATGACACAATACAATATAGGTCAGTGGTAAGAAGAAACGAACCACGGCAGAAGTTTGATTTTTTTTTTTTTTTTTTTTTGGCCAAACCTATCCTTTTCAACACGTCTTCTTTTGCAAGTGAAAGCTGAGGACACATTGAGTTTTTTTACGTGGAATAAAACAATAGATACACTAGATGAGTAAACTAAAACAGTAGGGCTGGGTGAAGACTTTTACAGACAGGTTTAGTTCCTTTGTAACTTGGTATTTTATTCAACACACACATTAGCAATTCTCAAGGAAAATAGGACAGGCTCTTCTCTTTGGGTTCGATCCAAGGGCAATAGAAGTCAGTGAGAGTTTTCTCGCTGTCTGGAGCAGATCCTTTCCCTGTTTGCATTTTCGCTGTAATTAATTTGGGGGCTTCTTGGTTTATAATGTAAAAGCAGGGATTGGTTTAGTTTCTCTAGCCCTGTAATTTGCTACGCCCGGTGCTGCATGTCAGAACTACGGACCCCTGAAATCACTTTGTACAAGCAGAAAAAAAAAACCCACAGAACAGCAGGGTT